GGTGAATGAGTACAGGCTATGGAGGGTTCTGGGTCCAAAATACCTTCCTTCTATTACCCTCCCATAGACTCTGTCACAGTATACACAACTCCCTTACTTTGTATTGTCTCTATGGAGTTTGACCCATTTGTGCCTGTTTACCACCTGTGAACATGTGCTACCTGTCCTGACCTTTGGCTTTTTCTGACCACGTCTACGCTTATCCCTATTCGCACTTTGATTTATCACTGCAATTTGGGTCCTCCTGTTAAACCCAACATAATAAGGCCATGGTAAACAAATGAAGGTAAATAACAGATTTATTTTTTTAACAATTTATTATATAAACCAGAAAACTTTTTAATTAAAACTACTGCCTTTCTTACCACCTAGCAATATATTTATAAATATATATATAGAGAGATAATTTTTTTTCCTCCCTTATCGTCGCTAGCTCTAGGTAATGAGTGAAATAAATGTGTACTAGAGATAATTTGTCTACAGCCAATACAATTCCTACTAGATCTTGAATTACTAAAGACTAAAATCAAGTTGTCTCTGTTTGGTAAATCTATTAAATGTTTCAAAACTTTAGAAATTCGGTTTTTTGGTTTTCTTAATATGCACCAGATATAAACACTGACTATTTACAAGCTAATACCCAACAATAACAGTTTACATACAATGTTACAGATATGTGTTCTGTGTACTGGCCTACTGTATTTAATGCAAGAGATGTGTGAGACCTATGATGTGATAATATACAAATATATTTGTATATGTTTGCCTGTGGCATTTGATTTGAGGTTAGGCCACACATGGAAACCTTCTCAGCAAGTAAGTGTTGCTGCAACTTATCTCAGTCCAGAAGGCAGGTGGTTTTAACCCTTTCCAAAGTTGCTTAAGAAATAAATGAGATAATTTTTAAAAAAATTTTTTACTCAAGATAGCTGTCCTATCTCCGTTCAGGTGCCCGCATTCCACTTTGATTTCCCCGAATAAACTGTGTTCCCTGGCTCTTCCATCTCCCAAATTCATCCGAACGCTTGCAACTGGCAGTCATTCATGCATATGAACATGTGAACAGGCTTCAGCGGTACTTAGCCACGACTGCTATGGAACTGAAATTGGCTATGTAACTTCATGGTTCCCAGTAACTTTGACCCAGTGTGATGACCAGTTGCCGACCTGCCAGAAGAGCACTAATTGGAGGTAACAATTGCTCCCTGAGAGCCAGGGGGAGCCCCACTTTGTTTGACCACAGGAGCTCCCGATATTTGACCGACCAAGACAACTTTCGCTATGGAACTATTTTGGGCTGTGCCCACATGTGTGGCCCATCAAAACTTTTCCATGGTAGCGTTTGGACAATTCCTTATGGATCAGGGTGCTATTTTGACAACGTGGGCGCTCGCACAAGAGCTAACCGGGGATGTATGACATGTGTGGTTTCTGTGTGTTTTCACTGTGTTTTGGTTTTTTTTATGTTTGGCTTTATGTATCCAGGAGATAATTAACGCACCAGTCCTTGACTCAATTATCTCCCAGACACAGAGACACCTGGGTGGTGTGCATAAAAGGCAGAGTTTGGCTCAATTAAATCAGTTGTACTCCCAGAACTGTGTGTCGTCCAGTTACTGGGGGACTATATTCACTAAGCAGCGCTTTGATTCAGCTCAAGAGGATTTCGTCAGAGATATTTGCTCTCAGGATTGCAACTCCGCTACAATATACTCTCAGTTACTGATTGTTGTATGGATTACTAATCAGACTTAACACAGATACAATTTATTTTAGTCTGTGGAGACGAAGAATTTAGCACTCTCTACTTTGTGCCAGTTTGTTTCTGTATGTAATAAACAGAATCTGCTGACAATGAAAGGATAACTTTACTTTAGTAAATATATTCTTTAGTAAGGATATATAAAAATAAAATAAAACATATAAATAAAAAGCAATTATGAAGAAAGTTCTGAATGGGTGGCAGACTAACCGTGAAACCTTACAGATATTGGACTGATAATCAACATATACAACCAAATGCACAAATGCTATTTAGGCAGGTAAATAAACAGGTCACAATTTTTAGTAAAATAATACCTGAATTCCTCAGATCTATGGTCTTTTCCCTACTCACTGACCATCTATGGATTCAGTCACAGAAGTGACTGGAAGATAACTGTCTGTCATTGAATGCAAACTTCTCCCTAATATGATATGTAGTGATAGGGAGCTAATACATCACTGTATATCAATATTGTCCTCCAAGGCCTGGACAAGTGCAATTAGCAGGATTTAGTGGAAAAAAATGGAAGATAATAGGAAACAGGATGTAGCAACCCTAGGCTACTATGCATATGTTCTCTGAGACCTGTCTACTATGCTATTGAATTTATTGTGTTTTCAAATCATTTGAATGTTGTATAATCATTAAATCAACTTCAATGTAATCTGTCAATTGATTAATCAGGAAACAAATCATCCATGAAATCATAAAATTATATTATATTGAAGTTGAGATGACACTTGGTATTCTGAACTACTTTTATTCTAACAGTCAGGTTCGAACCAAAGTTATAAGAAAGATCATAGCATACACTGCTGTTAACTGACAAACTGATGCTAAACCTAACTTGCTTGCTGCTGCCAGGCCGGCCTTCTCTCCAGCAGGGAGCGCCATGCTGCTGACAAAGCTCGCACAATACCAAGATGACAGGTGTGAAGGGGTGCATAGAGCACCCCTCTAAATCAGGTGCTGCCACTTGGGTCAATTATTTCAATATTCTCCTATTTCGATATGTGACTGTCTGTAACTATGCGTGTGTAACAATCTGCAATGGTGTGTGTGTGTTCTTGTAACTGTGTGTGCCTGTCTGTCTGCCTGTAACTGTGTGTGACTTCCTGTAACTGTGTGTATGTGAATTTCTGCAACAGTGCGTGTATCTGTCTGCCTGTAACAGTGTGTGCTTGTGTTTGACTGTTTGCCTACAACTGTTTGTTTGTGTGCATGACTGTCTGCCTGTACCTGTGTATGTGGGTGACGGTCTGTATCTGTGTGTGTGAATATGTGCTTGGGATTGTGTGCATGTGGCTGTATTTACACAAAAAGCAAGTAAAAAGTAGGCGCTAGTAATAAAATCGTCTAAAATATAGCTATCCAAAAAATTTATTATGAAGCTGCACCAAAAACAAGTGTAAAACTCCTCCAAACACTCATGTGTATATACTTAGAATAATAAGGTGCGCTGTGTCTTTAAGACCCAATTATACAAAGTGCCACAAGTGCAAACTATGTAATAAAGTGCAAAGTGATACAAAGTGCACTTAAAGTGTGTAGTGTTAATATAAAATATTATACATACATATGTCCTCTCAAATGGAAATATACATTAAAAAAAAAAGACAGAAAAAAAAACAATAGTGTAAAACTGTATTAAAAGATAAAATATAAATGCCAAATATTGCACTCACAAATGTAGAGCAGAATAAGCCTGCTCTTACTTTAACAGCTTCTTCAAATATAGGACTGCACAGACGAAATATTCCAAAATATTTATTGCCCAGCACAGCACATATATGTCACCTTCCTCCACATTCAGTATAGGGTTACAGAGTGTTCGGTATATGCAGCTTAGGGTGTCGACTATTCCCTCTGTTTGTTCGCCGCCGTTATTACTGTCTGTTTCCTCAAACTTCCAGGGGGAGGGACTTCCAAAAGTAGTCTCTTTTAAGTGGGCTATTTTTAAGTAGGAGTTCAAAAACAGAAATTGAAACCAACAAGGATGTGTATATAAGAACGTAAAGGACATGGATGGGCAGATCTGATGAAGCCGTGAATACGGCGAAACGCGTCATCACGCAAGTTACGCAAGTTACGCACCTTACGTCACGCACCTTTGGAAGTCCCTCCCCGAGGAAGTTTGAGGAAACAGACGGTAATAACGGCAGCGAACAAACAGAGGGAATAGTCGACACCCTAAGCTGCATATACCGAACACAGACAACATATAGCATACATATCACACACAGCCTTTACACCTCACGGACCTCCAGCATCAGATTTTCCCCATAGGAAAGCATTAAAAGGACTAATGCGCGCACGACAATTGCCACACATGCCCATTAGGTCTCCTCCACTGGCTGACGGTGGGGGAGGAGCGTGGGAAGGGCCTAACCCAGCACCGAGGAACATCATTGATGGATTCAGGTTATTGGCTAAAGATATTTTAACCCCTTCAGCCCCACAGAAGGGGGGCACTCCAGGAGCCTATAGTGCCAGGAAAATGGATTTGTTTCTCTGGCAATATAGGATCCCTTTAAGCACCACTCACCACAAAATGAGAACCAAATTCTAAGACATCATCGCCTGCCTTGTTGCTGTAATTTATTTGCTGGTGGAGGGTGTTGAAATCAACCCATCCTACCCCCACCCCACAAAAGTATAAAACCTTACAGTTGCAGTACTACCAAACTAAGATTATGTCCAAATTCCTATTACTCATGTTACTTGTCCTTGCAAATGATGTAGAGTCTAACCCTGGTCCCCAAACAGATTCCATTCCTAGCCTTCCAGCTAAAAAAGGTCTCTCCTTTGTGCACTGTAATATCTGCAGCTTACTACCAAAAAGCAATGCACTGCAAGTATGGTGTTCACATTACAAGCCCAAAATCATTGTGCTCTCTGAATTGTGGCTAAAAATACCTGACTCTGCCATTGCAATACATGGGTATTGATGCCATAGAAATGACAGCTTCCTTTGATTTCCTTTCTGGCACAATTGAAATCCTGTGCAGTAAATCAATGTTGCAGGAATTTACCGCACACCTAGCTCCCCATTCCCTTTCTGACATAGCCCATCTCCCTAGTAAAACCATAGCTCAAACCCCAAAAAAGGAACGCTTAGTCTTTGGAGATTTTAATATTGATTGGGAGTCATGTCCCGAACGGTTCGCCGAACGGTTCACCGAACGGTTCGCCGCGGACTCATCATTGAGTAAACTTTGACCCTGTACCTCACAGTCAGCAGATACATTCCAGCCAATCAGTAGCAGACCCTCCCTCCCAGACCCTCCCACCTCCTGGACAGCTCACTAAGAATGCAGCTTCACAATTAATGTAAAATGGATGCTGTCCAGGAGGTGGGAGGGTCTGGGAGGGAGTGTCTGCTGCTGATTGGCTGGAATGTGTCTACTGACTGTGAGGTACAGGGTCAAAGTTTACTCAATGATGAGTCTGTGGCGAACCGTTCGCGAGCTGTTCGGCACATCACTATTGATTGGCTGAATCCTAAAAATAATAGTTCTTGCTCGCTGTTTAAGACTTTGCAGCTAACACAATGAATCTGCTCCCCAACTCACATAAACATTAAAAGCCATAACCATACCCTGCTCGATTGGATTCTCTCCACTTCTCCTGATAGGTGATCACTGCTTAGTGTACTGCATGCGCAAAATAAAGGCTACTAAGTCCTCTCTCAAGGTTAAATTCACCAGGTCCTTCAACAAATGTAATCTTGAATCCTTTCAACATCAAGAACCTCCCATGGCACAGATTAAACATTATCCCAGATCTAGACTGTGCAGTTGAATTCTTTCAGTCTGAACTTCTACAAGTTTGGAATTTGCATGCCCAGCTGTGTAAGGTGAGAGTAAAAAGGAGCACATATGAACTGGATCACAGCTGACTTCATTCAAATGTACCAGTTTCGGGATTAATTGTGGTCAAAGTTCAAGTGTATCGGCTCTATGAACGATCACTGTGCATATAGACAATGGCAAAATATATGCACAAAACAAAATTTGCCAAGGCGCAATATTTCAGTTAAAATCTGAACAATAACATCTCATACCCTAGAAACGTTTGGAAAATCATAAATAACTTACAAACCCCCTCAATCCACTCCCAACTCTCCACTGTAAAAGTGGACAACCAAACCCTGCAACTCACATTAGATGTAGCAAATGCCTTTAACAATTATTTTGTCGGGTGCCCCACCATCCTGATTGCCAAGCTAATATATTAAACACATCCTGAAACTGCAAATTTAATGAGGCCTGATCCACATTTGTAAAGACCCAATATAGACAAGTTAAATTTTAGACCTGTACCTATTAGTGTCATTACAAAACACCTTAATAATCTAAAAATGAAAAACCAGTCTCGACCTGATCGAATCCCAGCAATGCTGTTGAAGCTCAGTGCACCGGCAATTTCTAAACCTGTCACAAACCTAATTAACAAATCCTTGGTGTCTGGATACATACCCAAACTTTGGAAGACTGCGAGAGTAGTGCCTATCCATAAAAGTGGTGACACTACTTTGGTTTCTATCTATCGCCCAATATCATTGCTCCCAAAAATCTTAGAAAATGTGTCCATACACAACTATGTGAGTATTACCAACACTCAAACTACCTGACCTCTGATCAATCAGGCTTTCGCCCGAATCACTCCGCTACAACTGCCCTCTTAAAAGTTTGCAATCACATCAAAACTGGCATGGAACAAGGAGACCTAACTGGAGCTATTTTCCTTGATGTCTGCAAATTCTCAAATGTACACATGTACGCAGATGACACAGAAATCAATGCAAGCAAATACGATCTTCCGCGGCTTGAGGCTGTGCTCCAAGACCAGTTCACAGAGGTACAAAAGTGGATCGCAAAAAACAAACTCTTCCTAAACACTGACAAAACAGTCACAATGATCTTTGGAACAGTACCTAATTTACACAAACTACAACATTCCCATCTATGCATCAAAACAAATACAAATAGCACACTAACCGCAGTCCACTCTTTCAAATACTTGGGTATGTTGTTAGATCCCAATCTATCTTTTGGCCTCCACATAGAAAAACTTGCATCTAAAGTTTATCCAAAACTAGGTGCCATGTACAGAAACAAATCCTGCCTAAGCCCTACAGTAAAGAAAACGATTGTACAGCAAATGCTGATGCCAATCATTAATAATGGGGATGTAGTATATTATTATTATTGCGATTTACGTAGCGCCAACAGATTCCATAGTGCTTTACAATATTATTAGGGGGGGGGATTTGACTATAAATAGGACAATTACAAGAAAACTTACAGAAACAAAAGGTTGAAGAGGGCCCTGCTCAAACGAGCTTACAGTCTATATGAGGTGGGGAATAAAACACATTAGGACAGGGGAAAGAAGTCAAATTAGGTAGGAGTGGAGCAGAGCTGGAGGAGACAGTAGAGTGCTGCCCTTTAGGAGAGAGCAAGAGGTAGGTATGTGAGGTTAGTCTGGGAGGCCATAGGCTTTCCTAAAAAAAAAATAGTTTTAAGGCACTTCTTAATTACATGATTAAAGACTAGGGGAGAGTCTGATGGCGGTAGGCAGGCTTTTCCATAGGACGGGAGCCGCCCGCGAAAAGTCCTGCAATCGCGAGTTGGCCGTACGGGTACGAGCAGCGGACAGAAGGTGGTCACGGGCAGAGCGGAGGGACCGAGAAGTGGCATACCTATGGATTTGTGAGGAGATATAAGAGGGGCTTAGATTATTCAGTGCTTTATAGGTATGGGTTAGCACTTTGAATTGACTCCTATAGGATACAGGAAGCCAATGTAAGGACTGACAGAGGGGTGAAGTGTGAGAGGACCGACTAGAGAGGAAAATCAGTCTGGCAGCAGCATTCATTACAGACTGTAGCGGGACAATACGGCTATTGGGAAGACCAATTAGGAGAGAGTTACAATAGTCCATGCGAGAGATGCATGGACAAGCTCTTTGGTAGCATCTTGTGTAAGAAAGGGGCGGATGCAGGCAATGTTTTTGAGGTGGAATTAGCACAATTTGACAACAGACCGGATGTGAGGCTCTAAGGTGAGGCCAGAATCAAAAGTAACCCCAAGACAATGTGCTTGTAAGGATGGGCTGATAAGGGTACCACCAATCTGAAGGGAGAGTGAGAAAGGCGGATTAATATTAGGAGGAGGAAAGACAAGGAGTTCTGTTTTGGAAAGATTCAGTTTCAGAAAGCGGGAGGACATTCAATCAGAGATAGAAGAAAGGCAAGAGGTGACAGGTTGCAGGACATCAGGGGAGAGGTCTGGGGAGGAGAGATATATCTGGGTGTCATTAGCGTACAGGTGGTATTTGAATCCAAAAGAGGTAATAAGTTTGCCAAGAGAGGCAGTGTAAAGAGAAAATAGAAGGGGACCAAGGACAGAGCCTTGAGGGACTCCAACTGAGACAGGATGAACAGTGAAGGTATTATTCGAAATGGAGACGCTGAATGAGCGTTGGGAGAGATAGGAGGTAAACCATGAGAGGATAGAGTCACAGAGACCGAGTGATTGGACAGTTTGGAGAAGGAGAACATGATCATCAGTGTCAAAAGCAGCGGAGAGGTCAAGAAGAATTAGTATGGAGTAGTGACCTTTGGATTTAGCTGTGATAATGCATTAGTGACTTTGATAAGGGCAGTCTTAGTAGACTGGAGGGGGCGGAAGTCGGACTGAAGAGGATGAGGAGAGAGTAGGAGTTGAGGAAGCAGGCCAGACGGGTGAAGACTAGTCTTTCAAGATGCTTTGAGGAAAAAGGGAGCAGGGATATAGGACGATAGTTAGAGACATGTTTTTTTAAGATGGGTACTACAGTAGCATGTTTCAAGACAGCAGGAACAGTGCCAGAAGAAAGAGAGCAGTTGAAGATGTGTGTTAAGGAGGGCACAAGGCAAGAAGAGATAGATCGAATAAGGTGAGACGGGACAGGATCAACCGGGCAAGTGGTGGGGCGAGAGGAAAGGATAAGTGCAGCCACCTCTTGTTCAGTAGCCTGGGAGAAGGTCGGAAAGGCATGATTCAGGGGAGGTTGAAAAGGTGAGGGGCAAGGTGGTGAGAATTCTTTTCTTATCTGTTCAATCTTGTCAGTAAAGTAGCAAGCAAGACTATCAGCTGTAAGGTTAGTTTGGGGGGTGGCCACAACAGGGCAAAGAAGAGAGTTAAAGGTATCAAAGAGACGCCTGGGATTGTGGGAGCATGAACAAATAAGAGAAGAAAAGTATGACTGTTTGGCAAGGGCAAGGGCTGTGCTGTTTGAACGCAATATGAGTTTGTAGTGAAGAAAGTCTGACTCTGTGTGAGACTTCCTCCAGCAGCGTTCAGCAGAACGAGAACATCTTTGAAGGTAGCATGTTGATTTAGTGTGCCATGGTTGGTGGCGTGTCCTCCTTGCGGTGTGTATTTGGAGAGGGGCTGCAGCGTCCCGGGCTGAGGTGAGGGTAGAGTTATATGAGGAGATAGCCAGTGAGGGACATTAGTGAGCAGGAATGGATAATAGTTGGGAATTGATATCAGCTGACAGCTGCTGGAGGTTTATAGAACTCATTCCTTCTGAGTTGAGGGGGGTTAGGCTGAGGTTATTGGGGGAGGGGGCTATTGAGAGCAAATGATAGGAAATGATGATCTGAGAGAGGAAATGGAGTGTTGCAGATGGTAGAGACTGTAAAATCATGAGTGAAAATACGTTCTAGAGTATTGTCTGCTACATGGGTGGGGGAATTAGCCCACTGTGATAGCCTGGTGTGTGTGGGACCCAGGCTGCAAAAGAGAGTCTGGGTTAGATCAAACAGCAATTTAAAGGTGGGGAAGACACAGATATTGAGGTGAGAAATGGCAGTTAATGAGGAAAACTAAATAAACAGAGGAGAAAGTATTTGAGTTTTAAAGATATAAGGATAGGTCATAAATGGTGAACATAAATTAACAAGACTATCAGCAATAGCTCCAAACTAACAAAAATAGGGGTAGATCATAAATGGTGGACATAAATTAACAAGACTATTAGCACAATAACTAACAAAATAAACATTCATATAAGCAAGAGTTTAGCAAGGAAGGTACAATGTTAACAACTAAGCATAGTTATACTAAAGGGGAGAGAAGCGAGAAGAGAGACTAAGAAATAGATGAATAAAATAAGTGGTGCAGAAATTCATAGGTAGACCATCCAAGCTACCTCTGCATGAGGCTTGCAGCGGAGAGTCTTGGGAGCTATATGCTGGTGTGTGTGGGACCCAGGCTCTGCATGAGGCTTGCAGCTGAGAGTCTTGGGAGCTATATGCTGGTGTGTGTGGGACCCAGGCTCTGCATGAGGCATGCAGCTAGTATATGCACCTGCACCGCAATAATAAACGTAAAACATTGTATAACTCGTTCTGACGCTT